GTTTTACACTCTGCAGAGGTTGTACACTTTCACTATGAGTCGTGATACCTATATGCCCGGGTTAATTACTCCCAAAACACTTCTGAGGTGAGCAGACAGGGTACACTATGAAGCCTTTCAAAGGTTTGTCTAACAAGTAAGGGCCGCTAAGATTCACTTGGCAAGCAGATGTAGGAACCCCCCAATCGAATGGCACAATTCCTTCATGGCTATACACATAAGAGGAGATGCTGTCCTATACCCATCTCGTCAAGTCCTTCTTGCGCTAAAAAGGTAACCACTAACAAGCTAGAAAATATCCTCATACTTGACTAAAGCTAGAGCCATGTAGCCCTCATAGTTGTAGTATAAGTCCCGGATGATCACTTACAGATAAGTTCTTAAGGAGAGGAATCTAGAGCACCATAATAATAGCCCAATGCTCTAGCCCCCTTGTTCCATGTTGCTAAAAAGCATCTTTTAGTGTTTATTGCATATACCATTAGTCAAGTTACAAGATCATGGTCTTTAATTGAGCGCTAGCATCATACTTTCCAATGCAATAACCCAAAGGTGTCAAAGAATCTAGGATATCAAATAGCTAGGAAAATTACTACGGTTGTCAAGGTAGACACATGCAGTATGAATTAAATGATATTAAGGTGAATAGGACAACAAAGAAGATCCCATGCTATACTTACCTTAAACTCATATCCTTCTTCTATTGAATTGTAACCTCCAAAGGACTTTTTCTAGATCACCAACTTATTTTATATCACCAACACAAAGCTCACCAACTGGACAAGATAATAACACACCACACAAGCATCCATGCAATCATACACGAAGCAAACAATAGAACTAAATTAGAACAGTACACCAAACATATGAAATAGCAAGTGAAAAGGTTTTAAAGACGTTCTACACGTTGCTATGAACACACAGACGCGAAAAACACTTTAATCGGAGCTATAACGAAAAAGTTATGAATTAAACAAGATTTCCTTTAATAAAATAATAGATTAAATCTAACCTCGAATTTCAAAAGTTGAAAATATATTTAACAGTAGCTTGAACATGTAGATTACTCAATTACGAATCTAACGCAAGTTGAACGGATCAAATCGGAGTTAAAACAGAGAAGTTATGGCCTAAAGAAAATAGTGGCAAAATTGTAAATAGATGAAAGCGTATTTTGAATCTAATAGAGGGAATCTACGCTTTTTAGAAAAAGAAAACATATTCTGGAAGTACGCCTTGAACCGCGGGTTCAAATCTACAAACGTGCGGGGGTTCTTTTGGAAAACTGCCTGCCGAAACGGTACCGATGAATATCGGCCGTTGGATCGATGATGAACGATTGGAAATAGATCAAAGAGAGAGAGAGAGTGGACATGCGGTGAGCTCAGGCGGCGGCGCCATGGCTAGAGACGGCGAGACCTCGTTGGAGTTCATGGGAATCGGCCTACGAGCCATGATTCGAAGCGAGAAAAACACCGGGAGGTAGAGGAGAAGATGGTGAACTCGACTAGGCATCTTATCGAGGCGCGGAGCGGACAGAGGTGGCGCATGGCTTGGCGACTTGTGCTCGGTGGCGGCTAGGGCTACAACAGCGCTGCGTGCTAGAACAGAGGCGGTGGCTGCGCTTAGGGCTGGATGGGGCGGTGTGATGCGGCGCAGGGGCTCCGGCTACTATTTAAGAGGCGGGGAAGCTTGGCGCGCATGGCATCGGACGACGTCGGGCCAGCAGCGGGCTCTCGCGGCGGCGTAGTCCGGGTCGGCTACGGTGTGAGGAAGAAGAAGACTGTCTGGCGGGCCCCACCAGTCAGCGAGACCAGGGCGCGGAGAGAGGAAAGCGGCGCAGGCGACGCTGGGCCGGCTTGCTACGACTGAGCTAGGATGGAGGGAGAGAGGCCGAGTGGGATTGGGCCGGCCTGCTAGCGCGGAGGCGCGGGGAAGGGCGAAGCTGGAGCGACCGCGGGAGACGACGGTAGCTGGGCCGCTGTGGAAGAGAGGGGAGCGGGAACAGGCCGACTGGCCTGCGAGAGGAAAGCAGGGGCAAGCCGACGGGCCGAATGGAGAGAGAGAGGGTGAGGTTTTCTTTTTTTTCCTTTTCTTTTCTTTTATTTCAAAACCATCTTGAATCATTTTCAAAAACACTTTGAAACGTTTTGAATTTAGACCAAAACCACTCATTACAAAAATACAAATGCACCCGCATGAATGCACCACAATGTTGCTTAGCCTTATATTTGATATTAATTTTAACAAAGCTTTTTTATTTTTCTAAGTTTCAAATGCTCACAAAAATGAATAAATAAATCATTTTAAGCTATTTGAAAAACATACAAATTTTAGGGTGTTACATTGTCCTATACCCGTTCAGACACCCCCCTCTTGTGCCTTTTGATAACAACTAACAAGCTACAAAAGCTCAATTTACTTAGCTAAAGCCAGAGTCATGTATCCCTCGTGGTTGTACGATAACTCATAGGTTGGCGCTTAAAGATGAGTATTTATGGAGAGAAAATAGAGCACCAAAAGAAGACCCAATGCTCTAGCCTCCTGGATTCCAAGTTGCTAAAAACATATTTTAATAACAAGTTGCATATATCTTTAATCAGAGTTAATTGTATAAAAGCAAGCTAAGCATGCTACCCAAATGCATAGACCCATATAGGTAAACAAAGCACATGATAATCAATACCAAGGCAGTAAACTCTAGGCGGTTCATTGAAATATGCATATGAATAATACTGTATTAATGGTGAATAGGTAATATGGAGCTCATATTACACTTGCCTTTTTAGCTTGCTCCAGCTTCCTCATAAACTAGCATATAGTCAATGCCTTCTGGTCTTCAACGCTCACAGACTGATTTTATTCTACTCGCAGATCGTAGCAACCAAGCCCACCAGCAAACGTACAAGCAAACAAATAGAAACAACTGAGTAGCACACCCCACTTAAGGCAAAAGCAGTTAAAACAATGTACTAAAAGAGATCTAGTTGCTAAGGTCACGAGAACACTGGAAATGCCGAGAACGATATTACCACTAAAAAGAAATGGCCACCAGAAGTTTATAGTATATTATAAATAAAAGAAAAGAAAAGCCTACACGTTTGACTTATTATAGTTAAGCAAAACCATGTGAAGGTATTAATTCACATTAGCCAAAATATATTTTAATTCAAAAGCTGAGTTAAGACCGGTCATATTGTATTAACATATATTATCGTATAATTTAAGTAAGTCAAATCTTATCTTTGCAAAAATAAAAGGACTTGTGAGAACACCTACTCGAACTACATATGGAGTGGATTTCAAACTAAACAAGTTATAATTTTAAAGCACATTGGTGATAGTAATTAAACCATATTAATATTTGCATATATAAAGTATCGAAGTATAACACCTATATTGTTTTTAAATTAGAAAACTAGTTACATGCAAATTAATCAAATTAATATTTAAATTATAAAATTCATAGCATATGATATAGGACGAGCATTGGTACTAACATGTTGATTATGTCGCTACAAAACTAACGAAGCAAGAACAAGCAGAATCTGCTACGGATATAAAAGGCGCGAACATGTTAGCTTTAGTGAATTATCAAGCAAGGAGAACAGGAGATACATATTCGATAGTTCAAGGAGATCATGGAAATATGGGTACAAGAATAGTAATACGTACTTTAATAGTTCAAATTTCATGTTGTAGTGCAATAATGGTACAGAAATAATGTTAATTAAATACCACACCGCCTTTGCATTATTACAATATGAAGTCAAATATTAAAATATAACAATTAATTTGGTACTGAACTAACATACAGTACATGGTAGAGTTAGATGAGGGCATGCAAGGAAAGCAGCAGAACACGTAGGATAGGATTTTCCATGCCGGATCCTTCAGTGTATGATAACATGATCATGTTGATTGGTGGCTGCCGTCATCTCTTCTTTCCGCGAGACGGCGCCCGTTTGGTTTCATGGGATTAGAGACTAGAGACTATTTTTAGTCTCTTTTAGCCCTTTTTAACCAAATAGGAGGGACTACTAAAGGGATTTTTAGTCCCTAGTCCACTAGTCTTTTGAGAGTGGCTTTTTAGGACTAGTGGACCAACTTTACAATCCATACCTCTTTCTCTCTCTCCTCCCTCACGTACCTCTGTCAAAGGAAGAGGGATATTTTAGTTTTTGTTCAGTCATTTAGTCCATTTTAGTCGTAGAACCAAACATATCAGTCGTGGAACCAAGCAGGCCAGAGGCATCGGCCATGGCATTGCACTGGCGTGTAGGGCGTCGGTCCGGGCAGCAGCTGTGTTAAGGTCGCCCCTCCGGGTCGGCCAGCGCATCTTGGCTGGGAAGCAGCACGGCAACGGCTGGCAGCGTGCATGTGAGCTCAACGTGGGTGGCCATCTTCCGGCTTCAAGACGAAATTAAGAAGCTACAGTAGCTCTAGACCGTGCTTCTTACGAACGGTACTGGAGCACCCAATGCAATAACGACGAGCGACAGTTGTGAGTTGTCCCAACGAAACGCGTCAACAGAACATGCATGGCCCTGGCGGGGGACATTCCAGGCATTGTAGTACGTACGGAAGTATGGAACAGTCATCACGAAAGAATGAAGGCTGTGTTCTTTGTAGATCTACACGTAACAGACAAACAGCAGCTACTTGAACACGCACGCAATCTTTACCAGTGAAGGAATCATTCATCATCAAACGAGAACAGTGGCCCATACGGTTTTCTCTGTTTATGCCTGAGCAGTTGAGCGGCGGCGGTTTAAGGCAAATCACGTGACACTGCTACTTTACAGCTGAGTTTTGTTACTCCGTAGTATACGCACGTAGTTGAATTGTAATTTGAGACCGAACCGTCCAGCCATCCAAACTCCCTGCAATATTAATGCCCTCGATCGAGCCCTCGAAATAAAGGTAGCACACTTCCATCTTCACTCTCACTCACTCTCACATGCACCAAACCTGACTTAGCCACCACCATGCATAGACGCATGACAATGGCCAAGCTCCTCAACCTCAAGACTTGGTACCAACTCTTTGTGAACAATTTCCTCGCCATGGTGGCGGTGGCATTTGTAGCTGCCGCGCTCCGGCGGGCATGGCCAGTCAGCATCGACGATCTCGCCGGCAGCCTACGCGCCGTGCCGCCGGTCCGCATCCTCACGGCGGTCATCCTGACTGCTGGCGTGGCACAGCTGAGGCGCCTGCACCGGCCGCGGGACGTGTACCTCGTGGAGTACGGCTGCTTCCGCCCCAAGCCCTGCTTCCGGGCGCCGTTCGCCACGTGCCTGGAGCACGCCCACTACCTGCCGTACCAGGTCGACCCGGAGAGCGTCAGCTTCTCAATCCGGCTGCTCGAGCGCTCGGGGATCGGCGAAGAGACGTGCCTGCCCAACTCGTACCACTACATGCCCCCGGACCGCAGCCTTGAGGCGGCCCGGGAGGAGACCCAGGATGTCATCTTCTCCGCCGTGGACGAGGTGTTCGCCAGGACGAGCGTGAGGCCCGAGGAGATCGACGTGCTCATCGTCAACTGCAGCATCTTCACGCCCACGCCGGTGTTCGTCGACATGGTCGTCAACAGGTACAAGCTACGTCCGGACGTGCAGAGCCTGAACCTGTCCGGGATGGGCTGCGGCGCAGGGCTCGTCAACATCGGCCTGGCCAGGCACCTCCTCCAGGTGGCGCCGCCGGGCACGCACGTCCTGACCGTGTCCACGGAGATCCTCTCGTCGCAGTACTACATCGGCAGCGAGCGCGCGATGCTGCTACCCAACTGCCTCTTCCGCATGGGCGCCGCCGCCACGATCCTCTCCAACTTGCCCGAGCGCGCGCGGTTCAGGCTCGGCCGCATCGTCCGTAGGATGACGGCCGCACGGGACGCCGACTACCACTGCATATTCCAGGAGGAAGACGGCAAGGGCGTCCTCGGCGTCCGTCTCTCCAAGGACCTCACCACCACCGCCGGCCAGGCGCTCAAGAGGAACATCATGGCCTTCGGCCCCCTCGTCCTGCCGGTCTCGGAGCAGCTCCTGGTGGCGCTGTCGCTTCTCAAGCGGAAGCTCCTCAGCTGCTGGGGTGCCAAGGTGAGGCTGTACCGCCCGGACTTCCACACGGCGTTCGAGCACTTCTGCATCCACGCCGGCGGCCGTGGGGTCATCGACGAGGTGCAGCGCGGCCTCGGCCTCTCCGACGAGGACGTGGAGGCCTCGCGGATGACGCTACACCGGTTCGGCAACACGTCGAGCAGTTCGGTGCTGTACGAGCTGGCCTACATCGAGGCCAAGGGCTGCATGAGGAAGGGAGACCGCGTGTGGATGATCTCCTTCGGCTCCGGCTTCAATTGCAGCAGCGTCGCGTGGGAGTGCCTCAAGGCCGCCATCGACTCCGACGGGCCGTGGGCCGACTGCATCCACCGCTACCCGGTGCAGCTCCCAGAAGTCGCCCTGCAGGACATCTGATCAAACGTTGTTCTGGGGTCTGCGGCATGCATGCTGCATCACGTTGGACATGCACCACTAGTCCACTGCACATGCTAATGGTAACGCCCTCGATGGCTCCATAGCATGTATGGCGCATTTCTGATGGTTTCCATCATCGATGTCCTTAGTACCGTATATGTACGTGTCTACGTGTCCTGATGTGTATGATCGATTCTCTTGGAAATAATGTACTGGGTCTGTGTTTGTTACCGCTGCACTTATATCAAAAGTTGTTTGTGGCAACATCTTTAAGCTTATTTGTGAGCTCCTCCGTGAGCATTTTGTTTTTCTTATTGTTGTTCATGTACCCAGTTTGTAACTCGTCTACGCACGAACTGGCCAGATGGGGTGGCACGGGCGGACCCCAAACCAGTGCCCCCAACCACCTTCTCTCACCCTCCCCCGCCGCCAGAGCAGGCCGCTGGCATGGCCGCACGGGTTGCCAGGAAGGCGGCGGCGGGGCGCTCCTTCGCTATAGCATGATAGATGCGGTGGAAGGCAGAGTCCACGACTGTTTGGGGTGCGGCAAGGTCGCCAGGTGATGGCGGCGGCACTACCAGAAATCTCAAATTTACTGAGTGTTTTTATGTTTGCCAAGTGCATTTCCTCGGGCACTCGGCAAATAAATTCTTTGTCTGAGTGTTATCCTAAAAACACTCGAAAAAAAAAACACTCGGCAAAGATGAGGGTTTGCCGAGTGTCAAACAAAAAACACTCGGCAAATAGGAGTTTACCGAGTGTCAAAAAAAACATTCGGCAAAAAGAGAGGTTTGCCGAGTGTCCAAAAACAACACTTGAAAAAGCAAAAAAACCCACCCGCCCCTAAAATCACCCACCCGCCCCTCCCCTCCCTCACACACACACACACCTCCCTCCCTCCCAGCTCGCTCCCTCCCATCCTCTCCCGTGTGCGGCCGGCGCCTCCCTTCCTCCCGCCGGCGGCCGGCCCCTCCCTCCTCCCACCGGCTGCCGGCCCCTCCCTCCTCTCTTCCCGGCCCCTCCTCACCGGTGGCGCCTCCCGTCCCTCACCGGTGGCACCCCCCCCACCCTCCCTCCTCACCGACGGTGCCCCTCCCCGGATCTACCGCCCCGCCCCTCCCCTCCCTCACCGGCGGCGCCCCTCCCCCGGATCCGCCGCCCCCTCCCTCTTTGATGGGAGTGCAGATCGTGTTAGATCCAGGCGATTTTACTCAGAGGGGAGTGCAGATCATGCTCGTAGGGGGATGATTAGTAGAGGATTTTGCCTGAATTCCCGGTGCTCCAGCTCGTCCCAGCGGTGGGACGCAATCGCAAGCGGGTTCGGTTCGCGCCCACCTCCAACAACCTGCTCGTCTCCTCATGAGATTCGGTGAGGGCTCTCTCCCGCCTCGTTTTTCCTTCTGGTTGGGTCAAGCTCGAGGAGATGCGAACAGTTCTAAATTTCTTTGAGGTTGGAGGATTCTATTTTCAGTAAATCGTCCGGGGGTCTAGCTCATTTCGGATTCCAATTTGGGCACGCTCAGGTCGATTTGAAATTTGGGGGAGATTGTTAGCAGTGTCTGATAGGGTTTTCGTCTGATTCGTTGCAGGGGCTACGTCTGCACGATGCCGACGAGGGCACGCTCCGGGTCAGTGCGGAGTCGGAGGCGGCACTCCTCGACTGGTGCTTCCAGGATGAGTCCGCAGCGTTTGCTTGCGGCTCTGATGGATCTGTGAGAAGGTAAATTTAAAAACGGCCACAATTCGTTTCTGGATCGTATCTTGAAGTCGCATGCCCTTATAGCATTTCCATTTACTGTCTCTGGCTGCATGATAGAATGAGTGAGAGTGTGCTTCTTGTACTGATAGTCAAGTTCCACATTCTAATTCTGTGCATGATTGATGACATTTATGTATGTCTTTTGATTGAAGTTGTTATGATTAAGCAAAGTTCTACCCGTTGCAATCTGTTTGACCTTTGGTTGCCTTTTTTTGGATGACATTTTGATGCTAATGCATGACAGTGCAAATAATGTATGGTAGTTTTATTTTTATCCTTGTTTTGTTTTGCATATTTGCATTCATGGCATTTTCCAGTGTGACAATTATAGGATAAACAATAATAGTACTTTTATATGTGGCAACTGCTGATTTACTCCACTAGCATAACCACTTAGAACATAGAGGTACCGTACATTGTTCTTCGTTAGAATAATAACCCAGAGTTGGAAAAAAACGTAATACATCAACAATGTTTTTTTTACGCAAGCTTAAATTTCACATGGCTGCAATTAGCATGTACACTTTCATCTCAGCCATGCTATGAAATACCCCACTGTATGCATATGACAACGGCAATATCCATGGACAATATGGTCACATCCATATCAAACTAGCACAGATGCACAATTTCAGGAATGAAACGCATGAAGTACATCTGCAAGTTTAGCTCAGATACTTTTTGTTTAGAACACTGAATTTTTCGCCTATGACAATTCCATAAACCTCTATTACTTCTAAGTGATGTTCCTAGGACAAGCTGGTACTACTTTAGGATTCAGGACAACACTAGGTAAATATACAGATGAAGATCCATTTTCAGAAGGTCAAATCTTCTAGCTGTAACCATGGTTTACTTTTTCGGCTAAAATCTCCTGATATTTTCGATATATCCTTTTTATCCGTAGGTGCCGATAAGAAAATATCTATCTTTTCCGTACAAATTTTGTTTAAATTTATTTAAATTTACTTAAATTCAAATTAAATTTTATTTGAATTTGGTCCAATATTTCCGATATATCATGTTTATCCTCTTTATCTGTGACCTCCGATAAATTTGAATTTCCAAAAATGAAAACCTTGGCTGTAACTGTATATGAGTGGTTCAGCAGAATTCATGGTTTGCTTACGTTGTTTGACTTAGAAAGAGGAAACCTATAATAAATAACTATTGCAAGACAGCTAGAACTTCTATATGGAAGAAATTAATGCAGGAAAAAATTTAGTGTCAATCATTTTATTAAGCACTCAGAAAAACCTGAATGAGGTGACACAAAAGAAATGCACGAAAAATAATCATAATACGGTAACATAATCAGTAGGACTTATGATCGCACAAATCAAACGCATACTCACCAATTCTTTCATGCCTAATGATGACCACTTCCTTGAATGCATGCTCGTTTGATCTGCATAAAACTGTATGAGTGAACATCATTTGAATTGTGATTTTGGAATGATAAATGGCAATAAATCTACCCAGTTAAAATGGCAGAACTAATTTGGTAATATGCCTTGTACTTCTCGCATTACAAAAAAAGTGGATACAAATCCCCTGTGCTTCACAAAACGAGTGCAATTGATGCTACTACTTCACAGCTCATATGAGCTGGTACGTACTCTTGAGTGGCTGTGATGAATTAAGTTTTCATTAGAGAACTTCTGCACTTTAGCACCTTATGAGCTGGTACTTGGGATATTTTGTTCTGTTTGCTGCTTAACTAGGATGGTTTGTATCGGTACAAGCAACCAGTTCTGTGGCTAGTTCAATTCCTATTAGAGAGAGAATTAAATTAAGCTCTAGGTGAAATTAAGTTGCAGTTGTTATGCTGATAATGGGTAAATCTGAGCCATTTGTCGAGTTGTTTTGCTCTTGTTCTTTTGCTCCGGGTGAGGAAAGAGAAGCTAGGGGATCGAAAATATTCTTTTGTTCTTGTTCTGGATGTTGATTCTTCTGAACTTATACCTCTCATTAGTCTCTTAAATTTGTCATCTTCATTTCTATGTCCACGTGGTTATTATGAGAATTATGTTGCCAGGAGCATGATGTGCACGTAGATATGGTGTACTAAGAGTATTTTGTATGGCAGCTATTAAACTGAAATATGCTGAGAAAAAAATTATTTTTTTTCTTTGAAAAATAGGTTTGCCGAGTGTAATTCCCAAAAACACTCGGGAAACAATAATGGTATGCTGAGAAAAAAATTATTTTTTATCTTTGTAAAATAGGTTTGCCGAGTGTAATTCCCAAAAATACTTGGCAAACAATAATCCTTTGCCGAGTGTAATTCCCAAAAACACTCGGCAAACCACTTTTTTGCCGAGTGTCAAATTTGACACTCGGGAAACCATTTGTCGAGTAAGCGATAAAAAACACTCAGCAAATAGCTGTTTGACGACACTGTTGATGTCATGTGTTGTTTGCCGAGTGTTACACTCGGCAAAGCCTTTTTCGAGTGTTTTTTGGTCTTCGCCGGCAAAGTCACTGTTTTCGGTAGTGCGGCTGTAGCATTCTGGGGCGGCTCCTTGCTCTAGTACCCGGATCTGGTGGTCCCATGGCGGATCTGTCGGTCCCATGGCCGGTGGGCACCGGGAGATGGCTACAGCGGCGGCGGCGGCGGCGGCAGGTCCAGACCTGCAGGAGATGGCGGCCTCCCTCTCCCACGGTAGCGCAATGGCACGGGCGCCCCTCGGCGTGGCTGCGCAAGGGCGCCCACGGCCATCCCGGTTCACGGCGTGGTGGCGCGTGTGCAGATGGTCTACGGACTGCTGTCATCATCCCGGCGGCTCGCTCCGTGCCGCTGCCGATGTCACGGCCACCACGAACAACACAACAGATTTATTGATGGCATCGACAACAACCAATCTTGGTCTTTGGCGGAAGTTATGTAGATGGCGTCCCTGACGCGCACATGGATTGTTGAGCACCTTCGGAGCGTTTTGCTGAGGTTGGCGACTTTAGGTTGGCTGCGGTTAATTTTGACCGGTGCCGCGGCGATTGGCCACACATGCCAGTGGCCTATTGTCGTGGCTGCGACAACTTGCAGAAAGCAACTCTCGGCAGTCAAGCACTGGCACGGTGTTTCGGCGTCCTTTGTGTGGTGCCGGAGGTCTGTCTTGGCCCTTGTAGAAACATGGTGCGGTGACCCGAGGTGTTTCAGTGCTTGGCGAGCTGGCAGAGGCCGAGGCTGGCGCCACAACGACGAATCGCACATGCCGTTGACTCATTTTGTGTGGCTGCA